TGCAATGCATGCCACTAGTTTCTCCTGTATGGAGAAACTAGTGGCATGCATTGCATTGAACACATACTTTTTTTCCCTGTGCCATTCCACATTATTACAAATAACTTAATTTCTGGACATTTATGGTTTGATTTTTTTGTATGTATGGATCACTTGGGTTGTTACCGACATCTGGTGAAAATTTCACGTCATTAGCACCTCTAGTAATATATTTACTGAGAAAAATGTTGACGCGTTCAATACTTATTTTACCCGCTGTATCTGTGCACCAACCTTCGTTTATATAGAAACATACTCCGCCGCCTCACACCTTTCCTGACAGCTCCGTCAAGCTAGGTTTATGCTCGACGCGTCGAGGTGGGCGAGAGGGTGCGCGCGCTATAGGTGATGCAATATATGATGCTCATGGCCGTCCCCGTCCCTGCGCGATGGCCCTTTGCGGTGTCCTGTCGCGAGGTCGTGCAACTCCGTATTTTCAAACTCCGCAAGGACTGCGCCGTGGACATCAACAAACAAGATGGACATGTGCAAGATGTTAAAATGTTGGAAGGGTTGGGGAATTGGCATAAAAAAACTTAGATTTTAACTTAGATCTATACGTTACACTTACGTGTTCAGTAAGTAACTTTTAACAAATTCAATGAACGACTAAATTGACTTCAGAATTATAGAATAACACCAAACTCCTCTTTCAGGAGGAACAGTAACATTCATGCTGCTCCAGATGTTCAAGAACTCCACTTTCAGCCTTTTTTTTATGAAAAAGGTTTGCTTTCTTGGCAAAATTCAACTCCTCTATTCTTGACTAACTGCACACTCTGCACAGGATGAGACCTGATAGTGTTGCTGCAGTTTGCTTATGCAGGCATGTGTTGAGAAGTGCAGAAGGTACGGCTCACAAATACATTGTTTTACTACTAACCTGAAGATGAGGCTCGCAGTACTTTCCAGCATTATAAACCCATGTCTCTGCCTCCACACGTAACCTGCAGGGCCATAGAAATTCAGCCCGACTCTTGATCACCTTAGGAGTTTTTGTCCTGTTTTAGGAGGCTGGCAGCTCACAGTGTGTGCAAGTGTAACGTTTACCAGCAGTACTGGATGATACAAAGCTTCCTCTTCTGTTAGTTCTCACCAGTCAGCAGAATAATACTTTTACACCACAGACCATTTGAAACTGAACTGATCTCATCGTTTGTAAGCATTCACAAAAGATCTTTTTCAACATATTAATCTAGTAGATAGAAATTATTGGCAGTGAACTTTACAGAACTGCTTTGTTTTAAGGCAAAGAAACCAAAATCATCTTCTCCATCTATATTCATAACTATTCAACTAAGTGACTGGCAGCAAAGCAGCCTGGTCAGGCAGGCAGCTACTAAGTCTATGGTACTCTCCAGTGAGATCCAGGGTTCCTGTGTAGATAAGGAGGTACTCTTACCAATCAGACCTTCATGATTATGTGCTCAGCGTCGACCAGAGACCAACACAGCCCATTAAGAATGGGCAAAATCACACTTTAAAAATGTTCAAGTGAGAACTATCTGCTCTGAATTCCCAACAAATACCACCCTTTAAGCCCCAAAACCCCAATACAAGAGGCAGAAGTTAACTTCTACTTTTTCACAGCTGTTTTTATAGTTCCCAAGAGTTTTTAGCCTTATTTATATTATTTTTAAAAGGTTTATATGCTGTGTAAGACAATTAATTACAATTTGGCATGCTATTTCGAGCACAAACCACATGGAAACCGCTTGGGGCTTAAGAAGTTAAAGTGAACATGGTGATGCAAACATCTTTCAGTAGGAAATGAAAAACATTTTCTGGAGAGCTCAGGATGAACAACTGGGGTCAGGATTCATATYTCAACAAAGACAAGTGGAGGGCTTCAGGCAGGGAAGCTCAGGTATACAGAARACTCCTGTCAAATTTAGCCAGAGTCTGAACCAATAAGAAAATATTTGTAGAAATGTTTTAAAATGTCGAAATGTCTCAAAATAAAAATGAGTCAATCTCGTAGATAAAAAAAGAATACCTATACAAATGGTTGAAAACACTGCTTATTTTCACTCTACATTTTGTCTGTACCTGTAGTTTGGTAGAGTAGCTCAGAAAACTTTACCAAACTACAGGTACAGTAGCTCAGAAAACTTTAATACACAGACTGAGGCTAAGCAAGAGCAAAATATTAAAAGTTCCTACCTGAACAACAGTGGGATTATCCCCTGAGCCGATAAGATACCGTGGGTTGCTCCAGACGAGCTCGCTGAAGGCCAGCTCATCACCTTTCTCCACAGCTTTCCTTAGTTTTGCTGTTAAGTCCTGACTGCGGGGGCTCTTAAAACTGTTGGCCCGCTCCCGATTAATGGTGTCAACTTCCATGTTTTCAGCTGTAACAAACAATAAGAGAATGTAGGTCACTGTGTTGTACTGTCAGATGCTTTTTTACTAAAGCCAACAGTTTTGACCTGATTTGTACTTTTTTTTTTATAAAAGTCCATTCATAAAACATTTTCAAAATGATTATATTAAACTCAATGCAAAGGGGAAAAAAAAGGCTATGAACACCAATAAAGACAACTGAATAGTGAACATGAACTTTTACCTTTACCAGGGAGCAGACCAGGTTTGACAGGAGATGCACAGGGGGTGGACTTGCTGGGAGAGGGGAAATAATCACAGAGTCCCTTTGCAAACTTCTCTGCATCTTCACGGTTACTGAAGGCTTTGAAGCGAGCTCCCTTCATGGCCTTCACAGCTTGAAGTGCGTCTTTCTTGTCCATGTATACGTGTGTTCCGTCTGAAGCACGGAATAAAAAAAGTTAAGCCTCTGCCTGGCCCTGGTCATGCCAAGTTAATGAAGGACTCCAATAATAGTAGCTGGTTTGGCTAAAATGATATCAGCTTGATCATTTTAACCAGGGACAAAATAATATTCTTTTCATCCAGTCAGGAGATCTTTGATGTGGATTATATAATTTTCAAGTATGGTAAAAATATAAATGATTTATCAGAAGTATTAAGATGTATTTTTTCATGAAAATTATTACAAAAACTTGCTTCTGTTTCATTATGAGGACTGTCAGTCACACCTTCCTAAGTCTGTGCGTGTTTTTCCTTCAGCTAAATCCCTGTTTACATGACACCATAAACCATAGCATTGCTGCTGTATTTTAACCATTCATGTGCAYGACAACAGCAACTGCTTTCTCTGACAGCAAAGTTTTTTGAATCCAGGTTTTCACAGTGGAGGTTTTTGGAAACCAGTATTTTTTGTAATGTTTGACGAAGTACAGCACATGAAAAGCATTAGTCAAAAGTAATGCCAAAAACACACAAGGAAATGTAAATACTGCACACTAGGGAGGAAATATGTCAAAAAACACAGTTAGCAATAACGTGAAAGCTGCAATTAAAAAAAAAGTCCTTCTGAAAGCAACATTTTCCAGACAGTAAATTCAGTACAAATATCATGCTCAGCCTAGAACTGAACACTATATTTTAAATTTATTGTCTCACAAAAACAGGTTTTTTTTGCGATATGCCTATTGCACAGGCATCTTGCAAAAAAACTGTGGAAACTACAATAAATGGTTAGCTCAAATGTTTGCATTTATGCATTTTTTGTCAGCATCAGTCTGGTAAACAAAATGGACCCAAGATCCCACATCAAATCATAACCATTTGATGCAATGAGACATTTAGTTTAGTTTGCTTTTATTTAAAAACTCACTTTTTTAGTCTTTTTTTTATTTTATTTAAAAAGACGATAATAATATGGTGCTTTTCAGTATTTAGGGCATCAGAAAATGTTTTATGGGGACACTATTGCATGCAGTTTGTTGTTTCACTGCTAATACAGCAGAGTGTGTCTAGTTGAACATTAAAATAAAACTTTCATGTTGGAATGGAAATGGTGTATTAGTTGATTTTTTTTTGCTCTGAACTCAACACTGCATATTTAAGTATTTGTCCATTTATTGCAAGTCATATCACCAAGAACTGTTATCACAGGTTTTCCTGATATCGTGCAGCCCTAGCTCATGCAGACTTTATAATCAGTGATACAAACTGATGTCAGAAACACTGGGTTTTATAAAAGTTATCTAAAATATTAGGTTTATATTTTTTAAAAACAAATCTTCAGTTAGTGGCAATATTATATTATTGGTTGCTACTTCAATAAATAAAATTAATATTTTAACAATTTTACTTTTTCTATTGATAGATGAAAGGTTTAATTTGAACTGAGATTTTTTATGTTGTGTTAGGCAAGGTTGAAAACTATGTAAAGATATGTTTATTTTATCATCTGGACCACTTTATATTTTAAGATATACATAAAAAAATGAGGTTAAGAATCTACATTTTAGTTTGTAAAAAGAAATGTAATGAAATTCCTCAAGTCACTTTTCTTTTGCACAAATAACTTCAATAATTTGAAGCATTCTATGTTTAGATTTCCAGAGAAAAAAGGTTCTGTAACCCATCTTTTTTTAAACCATAAATGCCAGAAAACAATGTTTTCTGGTCAGTCTGCCAAGTCAGCATTAAGTAGACAGAAAAAGTCTATAAAGTGCTTCTGATTTAGTAAACATAATAAAAGTCTGTATTGAGCATAAACATTTACAGAATTGATTTTTACTGCAAGTGTTGGTGAAAAAACATTTATCTGACGTGTATTTTAGACAAACTGGACAACTGAGATTAAAACATGACCTAATATAAAAAAACTAAACAAYAGCTGATCTCACAAGTAAACAAACAAGATAATGTTTGGGAGGACTTTAAACTGTTGCAAGATAAAAGTTAAGTTAGGTAAACATATCAAGCAAAACAACAGATATGTCACATTTATTTAAGGCTGAAGAAATGTTGCACACCCTCTCACTGTTGTGATTTTATAATGTTTTTAAAATGAAGAGTATATATAAATTTATAGCAAAAGAAAACAATTTATCTGGCTCAGCGAGTCAATTAAAAGTAGTCTCACGAGTGTCTCTTACCATTTCTGGCCAAGACGTCCTCCCACGGTGGACACACTCCATAAAAAGTTGGAGACACTTGTGCTAGCTTTGAAGGCGTTTCTGTTTTGGACTGAGAGTTACTGCACTCAACAGGGCTGTTAAAAGCCGACCGTACGGAGATCTCCTCTTCCTCTGGTGGGTTTAGACCCACACCGTACCCAAAGTCCATCTCTTCGCCATTGTTCTCAGAGGACCGGCTGCTTGCAGTAACAATGTCAGAGGCATCTTCTGAGGTGGCACCTGACACAGGTTTGAAGTCTCCTGCAGTTTCCAGGCCCAGGGATGAACGGTTGCCATCGGTTTGGGCTGCAACACCCTCTTGTTCAGCGAGGACGCGAGCTAACTTCCTCTCGTAGATGGCTCGGGTGGTAGATGTGATGGGGCCGCACTTGATGCCCGCTCGAACAAATTCCTCACACAGCTCAGCATCGCTGAGTCCCTTCAATCTGATCAGTACCACCTCCATGCTTCAGCTCCCTGTAAACACAATCAACACTTAGTGAATGTGACTAGTGGTCTTTAATGCATTAAACACCATGTGAAAAATAACTAACATTACTTCAATTTAGTGCTGTACACTTTTGAAACTAAACAATCAGAATCAGTATGAATATTTTTTTTATTTAATTTTGTACTGGTAGTCATGTGCTGTATTTGCCAAATTTTGAATCATTATTTCAACACCTGTGATATATACATATTTAACGATAGATCTTTGAACTATACCAGGAGGATTTCACTTTTTGCATTATTAATCCACACTACGTTTTGGTCACTACAAACAAAATTCTAGCAACAAAAAAAAAAAAAAAAAAACAGGTCTGTATTTCTGAAAGCTTTCATAAAACCAAAACTAACAAATTTCAGTTGCTGCTGGCGTTTCATAATTGATTTCTTGTCTCTTTCAATACTAATTAGCAGCCATAATAAGCCTTAAAGACACTGACGTTCCGGACAAATACACATTTTCTTTTAAGCTATAATCACATGTTGTAGCTCGCTCAACTCAATTATTCTTTAGGGTTTTAATAAACAATTTTTGACTTTAAAAAAGCGCTTACATTGGTACCCAGAATTTTATGAAAGCATAACCGACGACACAAAAGTTGCATTAGCTTGTGTCGGCTAGCTTGCTAAGCATCAGAGTCTAGCTAGAGAAGCCGGGGACTTCTTGTGCTAACAACAGGGAAACGGCTTCCGTCAGACAGTTTTAGTTGCTCATGGCCCAAAATATTTAAGCTGACCTACTGAGATAAGTAATTCTGAAGGAGCTGGACTCATCTTTATCATATCAGTTCTTTATCCGCATGCTGTCACGCCCAAGTATGTCATTCGAGGTGTGTTTTTGGACTGCCGTAACAAATCTGATACGTGGTCATGATGCTGATAGAGATCCAAGTGAACGTGATGACATGCATCAATACCTGTGTTCGTATACTTACCAAAAAACATTTCGCTATATATAACGACAGCTTGGTAAAAAAAAAAGAACTCTAGTTCTGCACAAATAAACTTAAAACAGACACAAAGCTGAAGACGGTCTGGAATAGTCTCATTGTTTACAACATCTGATGCGCATGCTCAGTTTTAAGGGAGGGTGTACGACGCATTCAACGACCGTGGAAAACTAAAAATTAACAGGTAATTTATTACATCTCATYGTAAAAATACATCAAATTAACTTAAAAAGACACTATTAAAATATTTTTTGAATATGAGACACTAAGTTATTTAAACTGCGTGGCGACTTATTTTTTTGCACGACATGTCGGTGGGTAGAAGTGAAATGTACGTACTGTAAACGGGGCTGGAACGCAGCACCATGCAATTAAACGGAAGACGTGATGAACCCAGGGAAATGACAACCAGGTGAACTTACGAACAGTTGTTCCCCTGGACATCACCTAAAATGCACTTTTAATAACCGATGACTGGGATGACAGTATTAAACAATATGCAATTAAACATATACACAGGCCAACTTAACATGCATCAAACAAAGCATATAATCGAATAAGAAAGCAAACGTTGGCGTCTGTCTGACGTGTAGTGGTGAGGGAACCAAGTGTTTCAAGATTATTTCGCCATTTGTCCATTCATTGCTTGGTAATTACACAGCCGTCAAAACGGTAAAATTTCGTCTACTTGCTTGTGTTGGACACATAAACATACATGTGTAGATTACTAAATTTTAAATGTATAGATTAAAATGTTTGCCGTCTACCTCCTCCGCCTCTCTCTCCGGCTGCTAATGCTAGCGGTGTTCTCACCGCGACGGTTTCAAAATCCTGAGCGAGGACCCGGTTTGTCCAGCATACTGCCTGAACAAAAATACACTAACATCAAGTCCTCAACGACACGTACAGTACGTTCAGTGAATACACACAAGATAACCGACGAATATTTATGAATGACCTTCAAGTTAAATCATAAATTAAAATACTCTACAATTTGGAAAAGGAAGAACAATAAAACAGCTTGATGCATGTTTACATACAGAACCCAGAAGCATTTTATACAACAGGATATGAACTCATTTTTTTATTTTACTTTCAAACAGTTCTCTTTGCATTTATTGTCCCTTGGAAAAGTCACAAGCATACAGTGGTAGCGGGACAAAAATATTTGGGAAATACAAGGGCTGCAGCACAGTTGCATGCAGAAACAAATCATGTAATGTTCATTTTTACACTCAGGTCTATCTGGAGCTGTAGCAGATTTATTACATCTGGTTATGGAAACTCTTATTTTACCACCTTTGCTATATCAAACAAATATGACTGATTTACAATTATAGAAAAGAGACATATTTAATATATTAACATCTGAAAACACAATAACCCCAAAAACAATTCAACACCAGATGAATTTTTGAATTCAATGTCTTATTTTGTAAATATAGTCAGTACCAATGCACACAATACACTTCTTGTTAATAGAAATTGTAACTTTTTTAGCTTGCTTTGTCAGTYCAGTTTTGATTATCTAGTGTGCAATGTCATTTCATGTGTTTTACTTACAATAAACAGTTCTTCAGTAAGGATTTCCCTCAAAATATACAAGATATTACAACTTGCACACAACCTTACCAGAAACAAAAACATTCAAACCAACGTAGTCATTGACAGCATATCAAAGATTGCTTAAGGCTTTTTGCATTCAAATTACTGCAGTCCATGCTGGACAAATAACCAGGATTACAGTTTAAAACCCAAGGTGATATGATTATGTAATGTTCTAAMATAAAGACTGCATTTTAATAAAAGGCAATCCAAAATATGTATGCATAACTGCATTACTTCTTAATTCATGAACAGGAGTAATACAACTTCTTTACGAACTGTTTAGAAACCATWCGGATGCCTACCCGTTTACGTAAAACAGAAGGGTGGCATTAACAAGCAAACAGGCACAATTAAATGGAAGAACGGGTTGTAGTTTCAGTCAGCAAAAACACTTGTCATAATAATGGAGGTTATCATTAAGTAGCATTTATGCTACTTTTTATCAGTATGAGAAGGAGGACTACAGTTTAGTGTAGGAAACTGCTCATCTATTAGGTAAACTGGCTCGGCAGATTAATCTGAACTTCTACACTTTTATAGCAAAGCTACATATGAGGGATTCCCTTGGAGAGGCTGTAATAAATAAAAGTGACAGGAGCTTAACATAAATACAAACAACAAAGAAAACAAAATAAAGCTATGGTATATAAAGTATTACTCTGCAAAAGCACGTCTGTGCGAAGTTGAGAAATGCCAAATGTTGGCAGCAAATGTAGAGAAAAGAGAAAGAATATGGGGCTTAAAGGTGCCGTTGTGGATAAAACTCCACTTTTTCCTCTAATGGCCTGAGTTAAGTTCTTTAGTTAGGATTGCTGCTGTTCAGATTCATTGTTATTTTCCACCTCAGTGTTGTTTACCACTGCTGGTGAACTGGAGATGTCGTTTTGAAGCCCGAGTTGAGCCAGTCCCTCTGCTGTGTTTGTCCATGAGTTCATTGATTCATGTACTGTTACTGTGTGCTCCTCCATCTGCTTYTGAAGGCTGTCCATCTCCTCCCTGGGAAACAAAGAATAATATTGTTGGTATTTTCACAACTTCTTAGAATTCGTCAGCTCTTCTGATAAGACAATAGATGTACTTGAGTTGCCGTAGACAGTTGTGCAGGTTGTTGAGGGGTTCCTTGTTGACYGATGTTGAAGGTTTCAGCAACTCGTCCAGCAGTGAGGCGGGCACTGGGCAGTCTGGAATCTTAACTGGTGTCACTGGATTGGATGGGTTCCCTTCACTTTTCAGCTCCATGCGCTGCTGCTCCAACAAATTATTACACAATCTTAATCAGACAATTCCTTTTAATCATCTGACAGCACCAGGCAACGAAAGGTGTTTTACCTTCCTCAGACGAGTCTGTTTCAGGTCCTGTTTGAGCTGCTGGTTCTGCAGCAGAACCGTCTTCATGCTGTTTCTCAGCTCACCCACTTTGGCCTGCAGCATAAACTTGTCCTTTCTGGTGCTGCTCAGCTCTTCTTGCACCGTCTCCAGCTCCACCTTTATGTTCTGAGACAAAAAAAAGTTTTTTTCAAATCATCAATCCCTGTGCAACAGGAAATGAGGAAGTTTATTTTTTATTTTTTTAAACAAGCTGTTCACTTYAACAAATGCAACGCCAATTTCTTCTTTAATGTCAAATTATGACTCCTGGTTTGTATCTACTTTCGAGCACAAGAAAAACTTGCCTGCAGAGCTGTCTGCAAGTTGTCCAACTCCCTGTGGTGGCACTGTTCCATCATCTCCAGATGCTGCTTCTGAGCTTCAACCTCCCTCTGCCTCTGCTCCACCTCCCACTTCAGGTCTTCAACCTGAGTCAGCAGTCAGAGGTAGACATAACAGCCACAGAGACACATTTGATCTAACAACGACACGATTTTCCTTATACAACTGCGATGATGAGAGCCGATTTCTGTAGTTCAGATGGAGTATAGAGCGGCCTTAAGCAGGATTTATAAGAAGACTCTGGTCGGTACCTCTTGGTTTGTGAGAGGCTGCTTAGCCAGCTCCTCATCGAGTTGTTTCTGGAGGATCTGGAGCTGACCGTGAGCCTCAGCAAGCTCCTCTTGGAACCTGGAAACATCCTGAGCATGTTGGTCTTCCTGAGCCCTGTAGGAAACGAGAAAAAAATGATTAAAAATCTGTTTTTTWAAATTATTATTTAACATGAATCTTTTGTCTGATAAAATACACATACTGAAGTTTTTGAGCCTCACTCCGCAGAGCTTTAATGAGGTCTTCTTTGGTCTGCAAGTCCTTCTTAATCTCTGACAGCTCCAGCATGGCTGCCCTGTAGTGCCGTCTGTTGTGAGCTGCCTCAGCCTTAGCTGCTGCCACCTAAAGGACACGTCTCATAATTACAACCCAAAAGAACCAGACGTWCAATTCTCCAAATATGAATGATGGAACAATAAAAAGTTAAATGTAATCAGACTTGACATAGAGGCATATTACAGGTCACTTGTTTAATATTTAAAATTAATTATAAATTTAAAATAAATGATTTAATATTTTAAATTAAATTTGCAATTTCATTCTTTAACCGTCAAAGTTCAGCACTTCATCTTCCTAAATGTCAGACCAGAAGAGGTCAGTTTTCTATCTGATACAGGGGAGCAACACTTTAGAATGGATTTTCTCATTTAGCAAAACACACACCTTCTGTGAAACAGTTTAAAAGTTCTTTAAAACTGTACTTAAAGTGTTGTGATTGTGACTTTTATTATGGTTACACATTTCGTTTAAATTTTCATTTACTTATTTTTAGGTGGTATTTCTATTTACTATGTTTATTATTTTTATTGCACTTTTACATTTAATTATTTGTTTTATTTTTATTATTCTTATTCTTATTTTGATCATTTAATAAGTGATTTAAATAATTGATTTAATGATTTTATTGTTGGTTCAATGTATTTTGTTTTTGGTGGAGGCTTTATACAGGGCTTTTTGTCTCTCCCTGCACTGTCATTATCTTTTTTTTTTCTTTAAATTGATGTATTTTCATTGTGCAAGACTAAACTAAACTTGTCATTTTTTCCCCTTAACTGTCGAGAACATTCTTAAGGTGCCATGAAAAATATTTTAGCATATGTTAGCAGAACTGGAAAGAGCCACAGTGTGCTTGTTGACATCACATTATCAAGTAGAGTGTGTCAGAATGAAATGTGAGGAAAAAACTCCAGAAAAAGTTGAATTTGTGTGCCATGCCTTTAACAGATTTACAAAACTCAGGTGTTTAGAGTTAAAGAAAACACTTTGCTGTGACTGACAKCACAGAGCTCATACCTGGTCTTTCAGGTCGTTGACTTTGGTTTTCTCTTTCTCCAAAGCAAGCTGTAGAGTTTGAACCAACTGCTTCATTTGCTGATCTTCCTCCTCTTTCCGTTTAAGAACTGCTTGAACCTGAAAAAAATCACTGTATTTCATTTTTATCAACAACAACAACAACAACAACAACAACAACAACAACAACAACAACAACAACAACAACAACAACAACAACAACAACAAAAGAAATGCAGGTACAGTATTTCACCTGCAAGTTGAGCTGGACCAGATCTGCCTCCCTCTTCGCTAAGGCCGACTCCAAAATGTTAGTATGTTCTCGCAGTGCATTGTGGGACTGATTTAATCCTGCCAGTTTTCCTTTTTCATGTTCCAGCTCAAGTGCTAACTTCTTGTTGGCATCTTCTAATTTCCTGATCCTCTTCTTGAAACAGCGTGACTCTTGAAGCTGTAAAAATTCAAATCATGAACCAGTGATTTTCACAAGTGTAAACACAACTCATATTGTATTGTATTGTAAATCTGAAAATATGACTATGTGCACTTTGACAGAGAAAAAAATCCCAATAAAACTCAAATATCAAACAGACACAAAATTCTAATCTTTTACCTCATCCTCAAGCTCCAGAACCTTCTCCTGATACTCTTCGAGCTCTGTGGACGTGATGGTGATCACTTCCTGCAGCTCCTTTTCGAGCATCATCTTACTTTTTGTCACTGCCAGCAGCTCAGCTTGTAGAGCCTTAATTTTCTCCTGGATTGAAGATAAAGCTCTGATCTATTTCAAGCAGTTTCAGGAAGGATTTTATTTATGACATATTTAAATAGGGGTGTCCTGGATCAAATATATATTATGAAATAAATACACTGTTGCAACATTTTTAAAATAAATAAAAAATATATTTTCTTTCAACTCGTATACATTTCTTAAACATAAAACTGACAAACGTTTCCTTAAAATGTAAAAATGTAATCCGTAGCACAATCAACTAAGCTAGGTTTCGTTTCGTTTTTTGTTGTTTTTTTTAAATTGAGTGGTTGACTCTTCAAGCTGTTAATAGATGACAAATGCATGCTAAAAAGAACAAAAAAAAAAACATACAAACAAAAAATAGCTCTCGTTTTATTTAGAAAATGAGAGGGGACAATTTAGACTGGTTTTCTCTTAATAATAACTGGAACTGGTATCAGTTCCAGTTATTATTAAGGGCTTGTTGAACGAGTACAAATACATGTACAAATGCTGGTATTGGGACATCACTACATCTATAGCAATCTAAATAAAGATCATATAATAAACTTTCAATGCCAACATCTAAAGGCATTAATGCTCACTTCTTATAAAAAGAAAAAAAATTGTATAGGTCYTCTGGACGGGTTCTTCTTTAATGAAACGTTTCGTCTCTCYTCCAAGAGACTTCTTCAGTCTGAGAGTTTCAGGCWAAATTCAGGCTTTTAAGCACTGCCTCCATGTGACTGATACTCACATCACATGGCTATCGTTGACACCTAATTAACATTTATTGTTAACAGGGGGTGGAGTGATACTGGCAATAGCAGCACTGTAGGAGGGGGACAACTGAAAACGGAGGCCCCCACCTCTGTTTAATGATGGACGGTCTTTCTTTACAAAAATGGCTTCTTTTACTCCTCTCTCAAACCAACGYTCCTCTCTATCAAGAATGAGAACATCCTCATCTCTGAAAGAGTGACCGCTGGCCTGTAAATGAGTGAAAACTGCAGAGTTCTAGCCATTAGAATTAGCTCGTCTGTGTTGGGACATTCTTTTGAACAGTGGTTGCTTTGCTTCCCCGATATATAACTGGTCGCAGTCCTCCTGGCACTTAACAGCATATACAACATTGCTCTGTTTGTGCCGGGGCACCGGATCTTTGGGGTGAACCAGCCTTTGCCGTAATGTGTTTTGGGGTTTGAAAGCCACTGGGACATCATGTTTAGAAAATAAACGTCTCAGTTTCTCCGAAACACCCGCAACATACGGAATAACCACTGGTTTGGGTCTGGGTTTGGGGTCTTCATTTTCACCTGAAGGTTGCATTCCTGTCTGCAGACAGGAAACACAGACAGGATTCCATGCAACCTTCAAGTGAAAATGAAGACCCCAAACCCAGCCATGTGATGTGAGTATCAGTCACATGGAGGCTGGGCTTAAAAGCCTGAATTTTGCCTCAAACTCTCAGACTGAAGAAGTCTCTTGGAGAAGAGATGAAACGTTTCATTAGAAAAGAACCCGTCCAGAGGACCTACACAATTTTTTTTTCTTTTTGATTTTTTACCTGGATTACTGAGATGCATCAGGACACTCACTTCTTATAAATACAGAAAAAAAGACTAATTAAGACTACGCTGTACTATAATTTTAAAATAATCACCCACAAACTGTTCTTGCATTATCATAGACGTCTGAATGAATTCTTTAAAGAGCTGTGAAGGTTTTGCAGGAGTTACCTGTAAGACCTGGCTGTTTCCTCCATCTGAAACCTGGGCCCTGAGTTTAACCAGCTCTGCCTCCGCCGTCTCCTTGTCAGTCAGAGCCTCTTGGAGCCTTCTGCTTAAAATGCCCACAGCGTTCTCGTAGGCTTTGTGTTTGGCTTTCATCTCCTTCTGAGCGCTGGTCAGATCTGTTCCCAGTCTCTTCATGCGGACCTTCTGTTCTGAAATGGCCCTATTTTGATGCACATAAGAAATGAACTTGTCTGACAGCAAGAAATATGGGTACAAGATGCCRGTGTACAGAACAAGCATATAAAAAAAGATACAAACACCACACTAAGCATGCAGATTTACATGTTTGTACTTTTCTAAATCATGTGTATGGACTCATATCTGTGACATCAGACATTATGTAATCTGTCCTGCGTTTGCATTTATAAATAGGACGGCAACAAAAATGTGCATCCTCGTCCAAGTCATCACTGTGGGAATTTTTCAGGCTTTTAAAACCTCTTCGCATCACATGACTCACTTTTTGGCTTCGCCCTCCATTTGCTCCACCTGTTTCCTCAGGCCCTCGTTCTCTTGAGTCACTGCTGCGAGCTGGCTCTGATCGAACTGCAGAGACTGGGTGAAGAGGAGAAACCACAGATTCCCTGTCAGCGTACAACACTGCTCAACAAGTTTCATTTTGAAAATGGGATTTAGTATTAAACCGATAAATTACAGTACCTGAATCTGGGTTTCTAGTTGATCCCTTTCTGTCTGAATGGCTTGAAGATGGGCCTCCATGTTACTGATTTGCTCCTGGACTCTCGCGACCTCCTTCTGCAAGCGAGCCTGCTCCAGCTCGGCCTTCTGTTTCTCGTCCTGGGCGCCCAGCACCTCCTGCTTCAGGTCCTTCACCTCCGCCAACAGACGCTTTTTGGTGGACTTCAGCTCATTAATCAGCTGGTCTTTGGAGCTGGCATCCCGGCGGTAGGCTTCCACCATCACCTGTGAAGTCAGCCACATTTCTCGAATTCTGAACGGTTCACACAGAACTCATGCTGCTTTTAGAAAAACAAAAGATACGAGTACGGTGAACCTCCTGCAACGTCAGATTGGAGATCGCAAACTCAGTCGTTCACAGATTTTTCTAAATTAAAATCTAATAATTTCATAGAAGCTGCAAATATTCACAGCAGTTCTCTTCTTTTAGATTGTTTTATACAATGAATAGAAAGAGCTTGTGAAAATAAAGTGCTCACCAGAACACACCAGTTTGATGGACAAAGACAAATTTTTGTAACGACTTTGCAAAAGCACAAGTCTTGAAGAGAAAAACAATAGATGACAACACTTCTGTCATTCTGTCAAATAACTCCACCTTCTTCCTGACAGCTCGTCACTGCCATAAAGCAACCACTGTTAAGTCCAACAAGCCCCGTTAACCAGCACTTTGAGCATTCTTCAGAAAATCTGACTGCCATCTGCTCTGAAATGCATCCTCCCACCACAGCGTCAGCATTAGCCAGCTGGAACATTTATGACAAGTGTGTCTACAATGTACAGGCAGTCTGCAAACGCTCGTTCTCTTCCTCCCTTCTGCTAGTTTTATTTAATGAGAAACAAGTTTATACACTCTCCAGTAAGACAGGGACACATTTTACCTTTTGCTGCAGAAACTGCTCCTTTAACTTCTGAGCTTGTTTCTTCAGTGTGTTGTTTTCTTGTTGTAGAGTTTCAACCTGTAAGGTAACAAACTGGTTTCTATGAGAACTGTTTTTAAAATGTCATTTTAATTTAATCTGAACTTGTATTTTCTATAGATTGATGGGTTCCTAGAAAACATCTTCTTGACTTATAAAGTCAAATACTTTACAACAAATATCAAGTCTTTTTGTTGTTTGAGTGAATAGAACAGTGTTTCTGTCATTATGTACCTGACTGGCTTTGACTTGGACTTCTTGTCTGAGCTGATCCAACACGTCTGAGGCCACCAACACATCTTCTCCCAGTCGCTCAGCACCCTCATCGAGTTGGCTCTTCTCAGCCCGGGCTGCCTGCAGTGCAACCTCCAGGACTATTTTCTCATTCTGGAGGAACTGGATGTTGTCATCCTTAGTGCTGGTTTCTGCCTGCAGCTCAGCCAGCTGAGCCTCCAGCTCCAGGTACCTGGCCTCCAGCTGGTTGATGGACTGCTCTTTGGTCTGTAGGCTCTCCTGAGTTGCTGTCAGCTGGCGCATCAGCTCCAGGTGTTCTTTTTGAAGTGACTGCAGTTGTACGTCTTTTTGGGAAAGTGTCAACTTCACCTTTAATAAAAAGAAAAAAGCGTGACAGGCGGTTTATTCCAGAGTACGGTCCATATTTGCAGCTCCTTCCAGAAAGAAAAGGAGGTATTGTTCAGTTTGGTGTGCCTACCTGCTCCAGCTCCCTCTCCAGGGTGCTGGCTGTGTTGGCTAATTTTGCCAAGCGATCTCGCTCGTCTTCAAACTCCTCCAGTTTATGCTGCAGATCTTCCTCCACCATACTCTTGGCATCCTGAATCTGCTTGTAAGCAGCTTCTTGGGTCAGCATGTCTGCCTACATCAGACAGTAACAGGATGTTAATGTACAATTCACAATCAGATATTTTAAAGGGATCCATGATTCGTTGTAACCTTACTTTATTTAATAAACATATATTTTAAATGTAAAATAAATACTGTAGGCTGTTTAGTTTTTATCATTTTTAAACTAGAAGTTTAAAAAATATTACAYGGACGGGGCCATTTTATTTACATGCAAAGCATTCTGGGTAAATGATGACATCAACTAGGTCATCGGTGCGAGGCTGCTAGCGAGCTATATCCACCCTGAAGGTTAATATTGGACAATATCTGATGATCGACTCTTTTAAATGAAACCAGAGAGCGTTGACAGAGAGGAGAAGGTAGAAATGACTCAGCCTGTAACTGAAAATATGGATGGAGGACAACAGAGCTGCTTCATGGAAGAATCTCAGCTTAGCCTGTTAGCTTTAGCATTAGCCCCGACGCTATCACCATATATACAGTATGTATTAGCTCAGCGCTACATATTCTCCTCACTGAGGTCCTCCATCCACATGAAAGAGAGGGGAAGGCAAAAATGACTCAGCCTGTAACTGAAAATATGGATGGAGGACCTCAGTTTAGTTTGTTTGTCGCGCTAGCATAGAGCTAATACATATAAGGTAATATAGCGTCGGTGCTAAAGCTAAAGCTAACAGGCTAAGCTGAGGTTCTTCTTCCATGAAGCAGCTCTGTTGTCCTCCATCCATGTTTTCAGTTACAGGCTGAGTCATTTCTACCTTCTCCTCTCTGTCAACGCTCTCTGGTTTCATTTAAAAGAGCCAATCATCAGATATTGTCCAAGATTAACCTTCAGGGTGGATATAGCTCGCTAGCAGCCTCGCACCTATGACCTACCCATGTCATCATTTACCCAGAATGCTTTGCGTGTAAATAAAATGGCTCCGTCCGTGTTAAAATATATTTTGAAAATTTTACTAAACTGAACATCCTACAGTATTTTTACAGTCTTTATTTTACAGTTAAAATATATGTTTATCAAATAAAGTCTAATGTTACAACTAATCAGGGATCCCTTTAATAAACCTTTGTTTTTGTTAACTCACAATACTAAAAGCCCAGGAATATTAAAATAAAGTGTCACAAACCTAATGATGGCAAAGGAACAACGAGAGAATATACCTCAATGCTCTGCAGCTGTACAGCAATGCGCTCTTTTTCTTTGATGGAGCGATGTTGGGTCTCAGTGAGTTGATGAGACAGAGTCACATTTTCCAGCTTCAGATGCTCCATAACACCAATCTGGCTCATCTGTCCAGCCTTCGACAGAAAAAAAGCCAAAGTGAGCAAAGCCACATGTGATACCTCAAACTGTTTGCTTGCTCAGTGCCCAGCACTTGTCTGCGAACGTTTACCTGCATGTTAGCCATCTCGCTTTGCAGTCGCACTCTTGCCTCCTGGGCCAGAGCTAGCTGCTGCTGGTACCACTGTCGGACCTGCTGGAGCGAGTCAATCTCAGCCTGAGAGGTCTTTAGTCGGCTCTGTAAGGTGCTACGCTCCAGCTGCACTTGCTGAAGCTGACTCTGAAGGCCACCCATCTGCTGACGCAACTCATGAACTGCATTAAAGAACCAAAGCATCCACCATTTGTAAATATAGTCAAGATTACCCACACACAACTCCAAGGCTGTCCATTATTCACCTGTAACGTCCCTCGATGTTACAGAGTTTTGCAGCTCCTCCACTTTCACCATCAACCTGTTGTACTGGTCTTCAGAAACCTTCAAGTCGTTATTTAGAGAAGTCAAACTGGCATTCTTGCTCTCCAGGCTGCTCTGAAGCTCCACCATGGCCTTTTCTAGATGGCTGCAGTTCTGCCGCAGTGTGCCGACCTCCGTGGTGAGAGCACTCTGCTTCTCCTGGCTGGCTTGAGCCTCTTCTTTCCTGGCCTGCAGCTGAGCATTCACTGTAGCAAGCTGGGCCTGAAGCTCTGTCTTCTCCTTAAGAGCCTAGAGGAAGAGACGAGTGGTTACAGCATCATCTTCCTCAGGTGTGCAGGGTAATAACGCTGCAAACGGTGGCATGAACCTGTTGGGTAGCAAATCCTGAGCCATATACTCAACTCCACGTATGACTAGTTTATTTCAGTTTAATGTGTTTGTCTTTTTGCTAGGACTGATAACATGTTATAGGTTTAGAGTGCCTGTGATATCCTTTCTTTGTAATAATCATGAATGCATTTTTGGAAAGACAACTTTGATAAAATATTGCAAAACAAATTCCACGCCACTGAGATGAACAGTTGTTGCGGCATTTGCATGTGAAAAAACAGGAAGTGATGTCAAAGGGGAATGTCATTGTTACAACAGCTAAAGGGCTCGACACACGGGAGGCGACGTCGCTCGCTCTCCATTCATTTCCTATGGAGCCTGTGCGGTGA